AGTTTAAAGGATAAGTTCACCTTTAGTAACATGTTGCCCATATTTGGGGTGTAACATGTAACAAGTAATTAAAGCAGCATCCCCTCTCCCCCATCATCATCCATCATTATGACAGCAGATGGAGATCCTCTCCCTACACCCACTGTCACAATGTGAAAATGGCATGGCTGTGTGGGCCCTCACAGCCGCATTATTCGTTTACAGAGTTCTCTGTGGCAGACAGCTTGTGGTTCTCAACTAACTGTGCAGGAGCCTGACATTGCACCCTTAAATTGCCGATCGCTGGTGCAATGCTTTCTAGGTTGCATTTTAAAAAAAATAATAAAAACACACATTTTTTTTACCTGCAAAATTGTGTGCATTTATTTATTTTATTTTTTTACAAAAGATTAACTTTTCCTTACTGTCAGGAATCTGGGTATGACCAGGAGTGTGTGGACTGACACAGGGAAATGCAAGCTTCAGGTATAGTATAACAATACAATTTATTAAGCCTAACAATACATAAACGCAGTGCAAAACATAACAGTGCAACAAAGCAAATCTCCAACAAACAACCATACATACAACACTAAACGTAGTCAGGCAGGCCGGGTCGGTAGCAAACGGGCAAACAAGGTACCAGGAGCAGGCAGGAGAGTGGTCAGGACTAGCCGAGGTCAGTACAGGCAGAGTTTGTGCAGAATCAGGGTAGAAGCAAGCAGGATCAGGATACCGGGGCCAAGCGAAACAGTACAACAAGGCACTGACTGCAGGTCTGGCCATTCCTTAAATACACCTCCTGCAATCAGCCTCAGGTGATGGCTGACTGCAGGAGTGAGCTTCTGGTTGCTGAGAGCACCCCCGCTGGCTAGCCCTGGTACTGCAGCCCACAAGGTAGGTGAGTTCCACCACCATTGGCGAGTCCATTCCTGACACTTACACATTACACACCTTTCAGATACAATACAATAAGCTTGGCTGTGTTTGGAATAGCAGTAAGTTAAATGTAATAATCATAAAAAATAATCAAAGAGGAACCCAAGAAGAGGTCTTATAGTGTTCTTTAAGTAAATTATTGCAGAATAAGAGGGTACGTGGGTGGGAAAGGTTGAGGGTCAAGAAGGTAAAAAAACCAGCAGGGGCAGCGATAGGAGTTGGAAAAGGTTTGGCCAGCCAGTGAGCCTCCCCATAGAGTCAGGAGGTCTTTGTCAAAGCCTGCAGGGAGAAAATAGGGGGTCCAGGGATACCAGATGGAGAGGTTATTATCCACTTTGCACCAAACAAAGTTTTACAGCAATCTCCTTCATGGTGCTGGAATGCTTGCTGGAAATCTTCCTGGAAGATTTACCAATTAGATCACACATCAAAAATTTCCTCTGCGTATTATTTTTCTATGCAAAAAGAGTATCCTTAAATGGAAACACCCTTTTCCCCCTACTTTGTCTTTATAAATACAAACGAACTCAGCACTCCCGTTGTACTAATTAATGTATGAAAACAGAGGTCACCTACATATATTTGAGCAAACTTGTGGTACCTGAATTTCCTCTAGACACACACACTTGCAGAGCCGTCTTAGTGGATATTTTTACCAATTTTATAGGCCAACTCCGGGGTCCTTTTAGCAGTGCTTTCACTCAAAATTCAAGTAACTTTCATCCAAGATCCAACTTTCATATCTTCTTAAAATGTTTGAATCAACATTCTGTTTTTTTTATAGCAGGGAGGGATTAGGGCACTTTCCTCTTTTATTGCTGAAAGGGACCCTAACCCTATTTAGTATTTTTTATAAGAGCAAATTTCTGCAGTAATTGCATAGCTTGAGGATGTAAGTAATAGTATATTTACTGTATTTGTTTTATAACAGCATAGCTGAGACTGAAAATGACTATTTTCTGAGTTCTAGCAGATGTACATGTAAGCTGTGTACCGGGGTGGGCTCCCCAGGATACAGTGAAGTCACGAACGAGGAAAGCAACCCTAACACCAGCTTTTGCCACAACAGAATTTTACTTAGATGTGGCAAGTAAAACACAACCACAAATGCTGGGAACATACAATAAATTTACATACACCCAGCCCAAAGGCTGAGACCCTTGTGCTGCACAGCACGGCGCCTCCTGATGGATGAAGGTAGAAAGTGTAGTAATTTACCTACTGGTGGGCACAACTAACCTGCCACACCTTACCCGTTATTACCCTAAGAGAGCAGGAATCAGTGTATGGGTGTATGGTAAGGGCTAGCCTGCGGTGCAGCACAACAGCTTACAATCTTACACAAATCTACAGTATTCCCCCTCCCATAACTGGTCCTGTAGCACGTGCCTGAGTATTCCTTCTGAGCAAAACGCCAGTCTGGCTTGAGTTTGTAGGATTTTATCAGCTCTCCAATGTGAAATGTCACTTTAAGTTGTGGAGTCCTTCCAATGATCAGTAATAACACTTGTGGCCTGACACAAACAGAGACCCTAACTAACTAACTACAGGCCTGGTCTCAGTCTATAGGCGCCAACACTGAAATGAGGTGCATGCATGATCTTGCCGACCCGGATCTGCTTTGCATCCGCTGGTGGCTCTGAACAGAACAAATGTCTCTCCAACAAGCTTGCGATATTGCAATGTATGCTGCATTGTTCCTCTGCTCTCATCAGCATTACTGGCAGCAATCTTCCTTTCTCTGAACAGGATCAGGGTCTTGGACACGATCAGCTTCACTTAGCTTCAGCTCTGGTTACCGAGGGGAGCTCCCACACCTGGATGTCATCGGATTCTCAGCTCACACGGCCCCTTCATTCAGCATCGTTCAAAACATGGCTGCAGTCTCCTCTTTCTGTTCACTCCAACTCTGTGTGAAAACTCCACCTCTTCATGAATATACAAATATCTATGCAGTCTGAGGCTGTGTTAGAAAAACAGTGACATCTTGTGGCTAAACCGCAGAATGTCAATCAAAACATTAATTTACTTCCACACAATCAGTGTTCAAACCATGAGAGCTGTTTCCCCATCTCACACACACACAGCTGCCCAATTAACTCTTGTTATGACACCTAATTTATAATATAAAAATACATTTTAAAGATATTAAAGATTTTAAAGACTTGTTTGAATTTATAAGTATTTACAACTTTCCGTCTGTGACCTGGGGATCTAAATCAAGGCAATTATGAACTACAGTACAGCTAGGCAATAATGAATCACTTAGTAACAATATAATCAGAGTAAATATAGGTCTGATCATTAGGGAAACTGCAACAAACAAACAACAAATATAGGACTATTTAAAGATATTGTCCCATGACATACACAGATAAATGCCACGTGAGTGTTCCAACATGCACCGAGAAAGCTGGATTAGAGAATAAATATTATGCCTGAAGGTAAAAGCGGATTCAAATATTTCTGTGAAATCAGGGGTGATCTGGAACTCTGGGGCCCACAGTGGGAAGTTATATATGGTGACCCACCTCGCTAACCCCCACATTTTTCAACATGGCACAACTTCAGTCTTGTTCCAACAAAACTGTGTTTATTTTTGAAGTTATGATGTGGCACAAAAATAGTAATTTACATTGTATGTACAACACAATTTTGCATGTTATCAAATGTTCCCACCTAATTTATACATTTTAGTCGGCATCGCTTCTTAACAGAGGAAACAAAAGAAAACGGTGCTTCGTAACAGGGACTACCTCTTATGCTGCAAAAGCTATAAACTGGGTAAGAGGTTTCCATAACCCAGATCATCACAACTTGCAAGTGACTGTGTTAATTTCAATTGTTCAATTCAGTACACCTTACATCACAGATTATCAAATCCAACACAACAAACACTTTTCTCCCGTGCTAGGAAAGGACTCAGTAGACCCAATAGGAACATTCTGGAATTTTCTGGAATATGCACTGCTTGCTGCCCTCAACAGGCCGGGGTGGTCCAAATACACTAGATGCAAATGGAGAAACAGAAAAAGGGTGCACCGACCTAGTGCATTATTGTTTAAAATATTTATTGAAGAAACAAAGTAAGTATCATACTTACAATAGACATAAAAACACAGGCATGTCAAACTGAACAAGATGTATGATCCAAACCACATCTGAGTCCATATGATGGAACCCTGGATGACCAACTTGCTAACGAGTTTCGAGGACACAACCTCTTCCTCAGAGCCAACACTATAGGAGTCTGCACTTCTCTTTATATAGGTTTGGTGCACCCTTTTTCTGTTTCTCCATTTGCATCACAGATTATCAAACTGAGACCAAGACTGCCTAGCCAATGCTATATTACGGCATACTGCTTTAGTGTCTCACCAAAACCCTGACACCGCTTCAAATGAGCTTGCTTCAGACTAGTTCACCATCTTTAGGGGTTCGACCTCTGCTGAAGTCTGCTTCAGCCCCTTTCTTCAATTTTAGCCAAATCTTGCCTTCATCCATTGTGTTAAGGAGACCTTACTCAGTTTCAACATCTCTCACAGGAGGAATCTTTCTATGACTATACCATCTTGAGAAAATGTTGCTCTTACAGAAGGAGGGATCTGAACCTTAATGTGTACAAACTAGGGCCCCAACAAGCACACAGAAGATTTGTCACCATTATTTAAAGAGATACAAAATGGGGACACTACTGCTTATAACAAAAGAATTCATCTCAAGAGTTAAATCCAGTTACCAGCAACTGAGAACCCAAAAGTAAGCCAGCTTGACTTGATAGTTCAGTTCAGCTCACTTGGGGAGAGATATCTCAGAAACTGTAATTGATGTTTAACTACCTGCCGACCGCAGATAGCCGAATGACGGCTGCACTGCGGCCGGCCAGTTCTGGGTGGACGTCATATGACGTCCTCCCAGAACGCGCTCTCTCCTGTGCACCCCCGGGGACGCGCACCCCCGGCGATCTCCATGATCGCTGTGTCCTACGAACACAGCTGATCACGTGACGTGGTAAAAGGCCAATCACAGCGGCCTTTTACCACATGATCAGCCGTGTCCAATGACACACTGATCACCGGGAAATGCAAATGCCGGTTCTCGGCTGCACTTTCCTCACGCTGTCAGAGCGTGAGGAAAGTGCTGCCGAAAACCGGCAGTTGTCAGAGCGGGGATCGGCACCGATCATCAGGATCACTGATCATCAGTGCCCTGATGATCGGTGCCCAGCAGTGCCACACACAAGTTCCGCCCACCTGTGCCCAGCAGTGCGCTCACCTGTGCCCAGCAATGCACCCACCTGTGCCCAGCAGTGCCACCCACCTGTGCCCACCCACCTGTGCCCAGCAGTGCCACCCACCTGTGCCCACCCACCTGTGCCCAGTAGTGCCACCCACCTGTGCCCACCAGTGCCACCCACCTGTGCCCACCAGTTCCACCCACCTGTGCCCACCAGTGCCACCCATCAGTGCAGCCCAGCAGTGCTGCCAGTCAGTGCCACCAGTCAGTGCCCAGCGGTTGTGCCAGTCAGTGCCGCCAGTCAGTGCCCAGCAGTGATGTCAGTGCCACCTATCAGTGCTGTCTATCAGTACCCATTATCAGTGCCACCAATCAGTGCCGGATATCAGTGCCACCTATCCGTGACACATTAGTGCTGCCTATCAGTGCAGCCTATCAGTGCTGCCTATCAGTGCCCTTCAGTGCTGCCTATCAGTGCCCATCAGTGCCGCCTATCAGTGCCCTTCAGTGCTGCCTATCAGTGCCCATCAGTGCCGCCTATCAGTGCCCATCAGTGCTGCCTCATCAACGCACATCAGTGAAGGAGAAAAATTACCTGTTTGAAAAATTTTATAATAGAAACAAAGAAACTTTTTTTTTTTTCAAATTTTTTTGCACTTTTTTTGCTTATAGCACAAAAAGTAAAGTGCCCAGCAGCGATTAAATACCACCAAAAGAAAGCTCTATTTGTGAGAAAAAAATGATAAAAATTTCATATGGGTACAATCTTGCATGACCGCGCAATTGTCATTCAAAGTGCGACAGCGCTGAAAGCTGAAAATTGGCCTGGTACATAAGGGGGTATAAGTGCCCGGTAGGCAAGTGGTTAAGCAAACTCATATGTCCTGCAGGATCAGAATTTAAAGTGATACTGTGCTTTAACCACTTGCCTACCAGGCACTTATACCCCCTTCCTGCCCAGGCCAATTTTCAGCATTCAGTTCACACTTTGAATGACGATTGCGCAGTCATGCAACATTGTACCCATATACATTCTTTATCTTTTTTCACACAAATAGAGCTTTCTTTTGGTGGTATTTAATCGCCACTGGGTGTTTTATTTTTTGCGCCATAAACAAAAAAAATACCAAAAAAAAAGTTTTTCTTTGTTTCTATTATAAAATTTTGCAAACAGGTAATTTTTCTCCTTCACTGATGTGCGTTGATGAGGCTGCACTGGTAGGCCTGGTGGGTAGGACTGGTGGGCACTGATACGCTCCACTGATGAGGTGACACTGATGGGCATTGATGAGGAGGCACTGATGATGCTGCACTGATAGGTGGCACCGATAGGTGACACTGATGGGCGGCACTGACTGACAGCACTGACTGATGACACTGATGGGCAGGCACTGGTGGGTGGCACTGCTGGACGGTACTGCAGGGCACTGATCGTCAGTGCCCTGATGATCAGTGACGATCTCTGTGACAGCTGCCAGTTATCGGCAGTACTTTCCTCACGCTGTGACAGCGTGAGGGAAGTGCTAATGATAACCGGCAACTGTATTTACTCTGTAATCTGCTGTGTCATTGGACACAGCTGATCACATGGTAAAAGGCCACTGTGATTGGCCTTTTACCTCATCACGTGATCAGCTGCGATCTCGGAGATCGCCAAGTACGTGCCCATGGAGGCTTGCAGGAGGGCGCGTTCTTCTGGAAGGACGTCATATGACTCCCTCCCAGAACTGGGTAACCGCGCTGTAGCTGTCATTCGGCTATAGCGCAGTTACCAGGTGGGTAATACTTTGAACCTTTTAGAGTGTTTAACTTTTTTTCATTAATGCACATCTACTGTCATCCTCTTTATATTCTGACCTCAATACAATCTGAATACTTACCTTAAACTGTGTTTATTTTATGTTTCAAAGCCAGGGAGTCCTGCTGGCTAAAGTTTTTATGGTGGTGTCAGCATGGGCTGTATTTCCAAAGCAGGCTCGTAACAGACAGGAACCTCATCAATACTCAGCGGCTCTCAAGTTGGTAGCACTACAAATTAAAAAGACCTTGTGCTCAGGAGTTTTTTTTCCTGAATCTCATTTTAACTGCTACCTCTAAGTTAACAAACTTACTTTTACAGATAGCTTACTCTGCAATGGTGTGCTTATCCTGCATGAAAACAACGTCCTGGCTCTAACATCAGTGGTCCAGCAGCCACAAAACTGTTACCCAAGAAATGCTCTGTTGCAGTCTTCGTAACTTTACTGAAAAAACAGTACATTTAATTTTACACATTTGAAACATATATTTTTCATTTAAAAAAAATAAAAAATTGTAAAATCCAACATCATATAAAGTTGCATGTGTCCCCAAAAAAACATTCTAGGAGAAAATTCAAATTGTTTAAAGTGATTTTGTGTTGGAAAAGGTTTCTAAAGAGCCAGCCAGCTTAAAAGTGATATTTTCTTTATAGGTGGAGCTTAACAGTCTGAGTCAGCCTCTGACTTCTTATATGTCTGACATTCCAAGGTCAAGATCTTCTTATCCTAATTCCCAGTTTTCGGTGTTCCTGCCAGCTTTAGGGTGTTCCAGTGCCTCCTGCTGTACTTTTATTACAATCAAGGATCCACTTCCACACATATAAATAATATTTCTTTATTTTTACCTCATAATATAATTTGATAATTTGATAAAGGTTAACTTAAAAATAGGGTACGTTAATGCAGTAAGGCATATTAACTCAACTACATTAAGGTGCATATTAAATTTGAATGTGCTGGCAGTGCACCTTGATGCACAATATATTGGTTATGACCCCAGTTTTTAACACAAGGCACCACAACACACAGCATGCGCTTTATGGTGTGCTGCAGTGCTAATACTTTCTTTGTGGTTCTTGTATTACCGCAAAGCATAAGTGTGACAGGCTCCTAAACACCAGCAGATTCACACACGGCTAAACCAATGTTTAGGAGATATCGTAGACACCCTGCTTGTTTAATAAAGCAACAATCCATAGCATCCAATTAGATTCTAATTTAAGGAAGGCAAATCAGAGGAAGATGAATTCCAATCAGTTGTTAAAGCGTATAGAACCTAATTATAACTATGATACCCCAAGTTTATAAAAGTGTATTACTGAAATATGTCCACTAGAGGGCAATAGAAATGCATTGTTCCAAATTCTTACCAGACTGTCAGTCTTTAGAAGTAAATGAGAAATGTCTACATATGGCTCTCAAACCAACAGCACGATGGGATGAATAGCTAGGAATGCTATAAAAATATGCAATGTGATAAGAACATTTCACATGCTGCAGAGAAAAATCCATGATAGGAAAGCTCAGCCACATAACTTTGACATGCCATTCAACTGTGCTCCCCCCTCCCTCTTTTCCTACTCAGTAAAATGAATGGAGCTTGTTCTGGAGTCTGGAACAAAAACCATTCAGGGGGTATATCTGTAATACAAACAATAAAAGAGAAAAATTCCCAACTCAGCTTACCGACCAGCCTGTAACAATTGTCTGGTCTAATTTTTGCGATAAAAGCAGGGGTTTAGTTTGAACACATGTGCAAATACATGCGGAAGCTGCAGAGCCTCTTCACTGCACACCAATATTCTGCAGTTCCTAACTCTATACATTTTGAAAGCCTCCATTGTAGAAGCATATGTATCATAATGACTAGACTGAGGGTAGGCGAGCGTGGAGAGAGCCCACCCCTCCTTAACAGCTTGCCTGCCGCCCTATAGTAGAAGAACTGCTAAAAGGCAGCAGGGCTGCGCAAAATGATGTATATATATACGTGATTTGTACTTCCAAGTAGGTGGCACACGCATGCGCTGCCCTACCCGCACCGACATTGTTGGTTAGGGATGTCAATCACTGGGTCCCATCTGGCACCTGGCAATCACCTTGTAAAGCTGACAGGAGAGAGACCTGTGTGTAAATACAGGTCTCTCACCTGCCAGCAAGGAGGTCTCCCTAGTAAAACACACACAGTACATATTGTAAAACAGCACACAGTTAACCCTTTGATTGCCCCAGATGTTAACCCCTTACTGCCCAATGTCATTAATACACTGCCAGTGCCTTTATTAGCACTGATCACTGTATTAGTGTCATTGGGATGTTAGTGGCAGTCAGTTCCCACCTAGCGTTAGAATGCCCGCCGCAGTCGTGCTATAAGTTGCTGATCACCGCCATTACCAGTATAAAAAATTTTTAAATTCCAGTATATATACCGCCATTGGTAGACGCTCAGAACTTTCATGTAAACCAATTAATTAACATTTATTGAGATTTTTTATTTTAGCAAAGTCATGTAGCAGAATACATTTTGGCCTAAATTTATGAAATTTGATTTATTAAAATGCTTTTACTGGATATGTTTTATAGTAAATAGTCAAAAACATTTTTTTTTTTTTCCAAAATTGTCGGTCTTTTTTTTGCTTATAGCACAAAAAATAAAAACCACAGAGGTGATCAAATACCACTGAAAGATAGCTCTATTTGTGGGAAAAATGTACATCCATTTCATTTATGTACAGTATTGCATGACTGCGCAAATGTCAAAGTAACAGTGCTGTATCACACAAAATGTCCTGGCCAGGAGGGGGGGGATCCTCTGGAGTGGTTAAAGGTCTTTCAGACAAATCAATGAATTATAAATGAGCCCCTGTGGTACTTGTCGGTTTTCCAGGTCCTTTTATAATGGTTTAATATCTCCCTGTCTTGACCCAAGGCAAACACTATTTCGACTGTAATAAAATGGCCTTTAACTCAAGGAATAAAATATTACCAAGGAGGTTGAAATGATGGCTGTATTCTACTGTTTTACATTTAAAGAGAATTCTGTTTGAAGCTAATGGAAACAAAAAAGGGAAAAGTCATATAGTGATAATATGCTGTTTGCTCTTTTACCACTTAATTTGGAACATATAAAGCAGCAGAGAATGGACAATAAGTAAAGAATGTACATACAGTTTTCTCTTTCCATATACAAGGGTGTTCTAAATCAATGCCTCACTTGTCCCTCGTATTTTAAGAACAGCCCTGGCAGTGATTGATACATTCACAGATTGCAATCACCCTTATCTTTTCCTCTGCAATGTTGTAATAGTAAATCTTTTAACTATCTGTCTTTCAGTTTAATGTAAATCTGTCACAAACTCAGGCAATTCAAACTAAGCATATGATGAAGCAATACATAAGCATGGGTTATCTTCAGTGACAGCCACTTGTCAAATCAT